TTAAACTAGGATCAACAAGAAGTGCATCTTGCCAATTAGTTGTAACCACATCAGCTNTGGCAAACATCTCATTNTGATATCTGATAAACTTTATTGTGTTATCAACACTTGGGCGCATTATCATTGCTGCTTNTGCTTCGTCCAAATCTTCACTGAATTGCTTTAGTTCTTCTGTTGCTGTTTGCATTTGATTTGATTTTTTATTTATTTCTCGCTCTTCTTTATTCAAAACAGGCTTAGCCTGTTGCTCAAACCAAAACCAACCTCTTTTACTTCCTTTATAAAAATCTCCGTATGCAAAGGCTTCTCCCTTTAAGGGAACTATGAACTTTTAGGTTAAAAAGTGGTCTAAGGCTATAGATATGATAATAAGAGAGGTTCAAAGGTTGTATTTAATGGTTTCTGTAAAATTCATTCAGTAAAAAGACATGTTTTAGGATCATCCAAATTTTCTGCATACTCCAATATACCGATACTCATATTTTATAACTTTCTGATAAAAGGTTATTTTATTGAAAGAGCGAATATTTCTTTTAATTTTATAATTTTCAAACATTAACTTTCCGTAAAATAATTATTAGAGTATCATACTTTTATTAATATTGTACTCTCCATATAATACAACATTTTCCCATCCAATTGGACTTATATGTTTAATCATTGAGAGATCTACCCATTCTGGGATATCACTCTCCCTTAAAATTCGACTCATCTCATTTGCTTGCCAATATATTATACAGGCCATTATTAAAGTTAAACAGTTACAACTATTTCTTTGTGCTATTAAATCACGTCCTGTAATCTTACCTTGATTACCATAATTTATATCTCTTGCTAATTGATGCATTTCTTCTCCCTTCAATAAATCTTCATTTCTTTTTTTTCGTATTTCTGGGTCAACCATGCTTTTTAATGTATTTGCTGTTTTAAATATACGGCCTAATTGTAAATTAGCTTTATAAAATTCATTTTTTGAGTTAAATGACAATAGCTTTCTCATTGCAAGAGATGCACTAACATGCCCTGTAGATATAGAGGCATAAAAATGTGCCATTCTATCCCATTGATTGACTATACTTGTCATATCTATTGTACTTTCTTTATGAGTCAATAGTGGACTCAAACTTTTATAATTTCTATTATTATCTATTTTAAATATATTATGATTTTGTATTCCTCTTATTCTTGGATTAAATTTACTTCCAATAAATGCAAAAGCAGAGAATGTTATTGCACCTGCTGCTGCCGTATCTGTAAAATGTTCTTCCAAAGGCAAATCACTTTCGTTATATAGCTTACCATCTAACACATGAGCTCCCTCACTTTCATAACATTGAATTGGCTTACTTAAAAATGGCGCATAATTGTCAGCAACAAAAGTATAAAATTTTAAAGCAAATTCTCCTAGCTTTACACTAAACTCTTGCTGTAAAACTTTCTCTTTAAAGGTTACTAAATGGCTATCACTACTAGACCTCTTACCTTCTCCCCAATTCTTTGTAATATTTAATTTTGATATTGCATTTACTATCCATGCCAGTGCTGTTCTTAATGCTTCATCAGTTAATTGCCAATCTGTAATTCTCTTCATATAATCATATGATACATCGCTTACTAATTGAGCCATAGTATAAATACCTATATTACATCCATGGGCCATTATAGTTAATATAAGACCACATATATCTTCTTTAATTCTTAAGTTTTCTTGATTGGGTAGCATAAATGCTTCTGTAAATTGTAATTTATTATCTACTTCTACTAATAAATCAGGTAATTTGATGCTTCTCAAATTACTTTCAATTAAATTTTTTAAAAATGTTAAGGATTCTTGTTGTTTTTTTGTTAATTGCTCCCCAGGATCACGTTTTAACTCCCACTTACCATCCACTATTCTAGCATGTTTATTACCTTTCTCTCCTATAAAATAGGTATCATAAGCTTGACCTAAATAGTTAGTTAAAAAAGCCTCAGCATTTCTCGCATTTGATGGAAGCTTATTGTTATGAAAAAATTCTGTCATATAGTTTTTCCAGATATATTCAGGCATAAAAAACCTATCGAAAGAACTAAACCTTTTTCCATTTTCTAGAACTAAATTGTTATGTTTTAAATCTTCTTTGATTTTAAATAATAATGCGCATTCCCAAGCTCTTCTATCTATTTTTCCATTTGTAATTACAAATTTCTTTATTCCCTTTGATATAAACTTAGTTGGAATATCTTTTGGCAATTGACGTTTTTTCTTTTTGTTTAAATTTTTTAAAATCTCTATTGCCTTTAGTATATCTGATTTACTTCCTTCTTCTAATTTTATTTCTAAGCTTTCTACTAATTTAGGAGTAAATTGCCTAAAATATCCATACTTTTCTACAAATAAATTAAATGCATGCCTATATTTCCCTGCTAATAATAATTCTAAGTTATCTTTTTTAATTAGCTCTGCTTTAAATTTTTTATATAAAACTGTTCTTAATTCAATATCTGGTACAGTTTCATCTCTTACTACTTCCTTTATTTTTGAATAATTTTCTAGAGCTTTCCTTATTTCTTTTTCGTTTTGTGTTACTTTTAGTTTAATAATTTTATCTGCTCTTTTATAACTAGAAGAAAGTAATTTTATGCAAGACTCTGCTAAAAAATCATTATTATCTTTGTAACTTTGGTGTAAGAAGCATACAATTGCTGCATACCTGTATAAAGGATCTATTCTCCTTAATCTTGTAATTGAATATGACTTAACTTCTCTTGTTAATATTTTTTGATAATTATTATTGATCATACTTACATCAATAGATAATGCTCCAGTACTCCTTATATATTCTAATTTCTCTAATAAATTAAGAATTCCGTTTACAGATGCTCGATATGGAGGTTTCTTTAAAAACTCTAATTTAGATATTGTGCTTTGGCTTTCTAATAATAAATTTAGATTATCAATAATTTCTAAAGATAATTTTTGTTGTACATTGTCAAAAATAGCCTTTCTTGCTCTTTGCCTTTCTCCTGATATTATCTTTGATAATCTAATCTCTGTTGGTGACAATATTCTATTCTTTTTTAAATACAATATTGTTTTGCTCTTTAGTAAGCTTTTTGCTTCTAATCTTAAAGCTTCATTATATACATATTCTTTAGTTTTTACTTCATTTTCTGTATCAAATTTACTAATACATAAATAATTTGTAATCTCTTGTTGATGTTCTATGATTTTAAATCTGTTTCTAGAATATTTTTCAATTTTATCTGCATCTACCTTAATTTGTAGGCCTACAAACGTTACTATTTCTTCTATAACCTCAAAAGGTGCTATTTTAGGAAAGTAATTAAATAATTTTACAAAGGCTACCTGATAACCAAATCCTAATTTATTATAATCATTCCTGCATCTATTAACAGCTTGTATATCAGTGTTCTTTAATGTGCCATATTCTACAAGACTTTGCTGTGAAAAATTTTTATCAGCCATTAATCATTCCAAAACTTTGTAAATTTTGTAGGTAGAATTTCAGTATATCTTACTGTATGCCTTATATTTTTATGCCCAAGATATTGTTGTATACTACGTGTATCATGCGATGCATTTGCTAATTTAAAACCAGTGGAATGTCTTAGCATATGGGGATGAATCGATAATTCTATTCCTGCATTCTCACCAGCTCTAGTTAATATTTTGCTAAATGTTGATGTAGTAAGAGGACTTTTTCTTTCTGAAACAAAAACATACTGAGTTTCTGGATACTCTCTTTTTACTTTCCTTAATGCCCTTAACTCAGGACCAAATAATGGATGTGCACTATCTATACCATTCTTTAATCTATTTATCTGTATAGTACCTATATTGAAATTTATTTGTTGCCATTTTAAAGTTAATAATTCTCCTACTCTGAGTCCATGCCTATAAGCCATTAAAATCATTGTTGCATCTCGATTTTTATGACGTCCTATATTTTTAGCTGCTGTAATTATTTTTTCTATCTCATCTTCTGTTAAATATTCACGCGCTCTTCTATCTTTATTTTTAGGCTTTTTTAGCATAAGTTGTATAATGTTTATTTAATATTTATATCTTTCAGTAAAAAGGACATTGAGTCTAATTAACATTAGGATCTTTATCATAGCACTTGTCAAGTGAAAAATTTTTAACATTCAATAAAAGGTACCATTTACTGAATGTTTTTTATTGTAAATTTACATACTATAGGTAGTATTTTTAGCCTCTTTCAGTAAAAGAAACTTTTATCAGAAAGTTATAAAATATAAGCATCGGTAAATTGGGATGTACAGATAATTTGGATTATCCTAAAGCATGTCTTTTTACTGAATATATTTTACAGAAATCATTAAATACAACCTTTACATCTCTCTTATTCCCATATCTATAGCCTTAGACCACTTTTTAACCTAAAAGTTCATAGTTCCCTTATTACAAAAATTAAGAAAAATATGAAGAACTGTTTGATGCATGTTAAGGATAAATTGATGCTTAAAAAGCGGTCATTGGTAGAAACCATCTTCTCTTCAATGAAATGCTTGCAAACCCTAATTCACTCTAGACATAGGTCGCCTATCAACGCTTTCTCTCATCTTTTCGCTGGGTTAATAAATTATCAACTTAGATCAGATAAGCCTGCTATTGATAAAAATCTATTCATCATTTCTTAAATGCAGCTCGGGTTTATTTTAATTATTCATTATACAAATATAATCACTTTTAAACATTTAATCTTTTAGCTGTTCATACTTTTATACATTAAACCTTTTATATGGTTGCATTTTCTTCTTTACACTTAATCTATTAGTGTCTAATTCCCCAAATCTAGCTCCGAGAAGTATCATTTTAATTATTCATCATATAAAAGTGATTACTTTTAAACATTTTGCCTTTTAAGTGCATGAACTTTTTAAGGTTAAATGTCTTTACTTTTAAAAGTATATGTACTATAATGGTCAATAAAAAAGTCTGAATATGATTATTTCTCTTTTAAATCAAAAAGGTGGGGTAGGTAAAACTACTTTGTCTATAAACATCGCAGGAGCTCTATCAGAAGAAGGTAATAAAGTTTTATTAATTGATGCAGATCCACAAGGAAGCGCATTAGACTGGGCAACTAAAAGAAAAGCTGATTTGATTTTTAATTCTATAGCTATTAATAAACCCATAATACATAAGGAAATAAATGCTTTTGTTAAAGCTTATGATCACATCATTATAGATGGACCACCTAGAGTTTATGATGTTGCAAGATCAGCAATAGCAGCAAGCAATCTGATTTTAATTCCTGTTCAAACATCTCCGTATGATGTATGGGCAGCATCTGAAATTGTAGATCAAATTAAAGAAGTAGCAGAACCTCTTTCAGAAATAAGAAAAATTAAGAGAGCTTTTTTAATAAATAGAAAAATAAAAAATACTGCTATTGGTAGAGATGTAGCTGAATCACTAAGTAGTTATAACATAGATGTTCTTAATACTCATATACATTCAAGAATCATTTATGCTGAATCAGCAGCAGTAGGTTTATGTGTGCATGAATCTGAAAACGACCAAGCAAAAACTGAAATAAAATGCCTTGTTAAAGAAATTTTAACAAAATATGACAGGTAGTTTATGGCAAAAAAGATAATAATAGATCAAAAACCTAGTATTAAAAGTACTGATATGATAGATCAGTGGGTTGAGAGTGGATCAATAAATAAAATTAAAAATGATGATAAATCAAGGAAACAGAAGAAAATAACGATTTCTGTAAGCGAAGAATTGCACAAAAAAATAAAGTTATATTGTGCTCATAATGATATAAAAATCAAAGACCAAATTATAGAAATCTTAGAAAAAGAATTCCCATAATATATATCAAAGTGTAACTATTATATTTATTTGTATAATTTATATACAAAAGTGAAAAAAGGTTTGACTTTCTTTATATCAAGGTGTAATGATTCTTATATATAATATTTAAACTATATATGACTATATCATCTAATAAAAAAAGAATCTTAGTTTCTTTACCTATAGAGGTTTTGGATAAAATTGACTTTCATATCAAAAAAGAACACATAACCAGAACTAAATGGTTTGTTGATGCCGCATACGATAAAATAGCTAAAGATAATAAGAGACGAGTAGATGAAATAGTAAATAAAAAATAAAAAAGCGAAGTACTATACTCCGCCTTAATTCGCTAGATTAAGTATACATCAATATGATGTATTATGCAAGGGTATATTGTACTTTTTTTAAAAAAGGAGAGTAATATTATGCCCATAGAAAGGGGATTAGACCCACACATTAATCATGCCTCTGAAAATAGTAAAAATTACATTAATTTTTTTACCTATTCAGAATATAAAAAAGAACAAACTAAATATTCATACTTTAAATTAGAAAAAGTATTCGGAACAAGGAAAGCTAATTTTATCAATAAATTAAAATATTGGTTAAGCAAATGTGGTAGAAATATCAATGGTATATCAGGCAAGTGGATATATAACCCCACTCATGAATGGGCAAATCAACTTAATTGTTCCACTTCTACAATTAAAAGATTAATTAAATCATTAGAAGAACAGGGTATTATATTATCCAAAAAAGTAAATGCTAAAAGATACAATCAAACTAAATGGTATAGCTTAAATTTTAATTTACTTAATAATATGTTAACTTCCCAAGATATCAAAGATAATACTGTTAAAAATAAATGGACCAATCGATTAGTTCAAAATGAACCAATCATTATAAGTAACAATAGAAATAACTATACAAATACTTCTTCTAAAAAGTTTAAAAATAACTACTCAGATTCTAAAGAAGAAGAAATTAATTTTTCTAATGTTTTAAAAGAAAGAACAGCTCAAAAAACAAAATTAACAACTAATGAAACAAAGCTTGTAGAACAAATGGTATATTTGTGGAATAAAGTTTTTATCTACAGCCGTAACCCAATTAAAGCTTATATATCAAAAAGTAATAAAAAGGCATTAGTTGATGTTTTAAATAATCATTTTGAAGGAGATTTAGATAAATGGAGAGAGTACGCACTTGCAGTAAATAGTAGTCAGTTTCTGATGGGAGAGAAGGAAACAAAAAAAAATTTTAGAGCGATATTTTCATGGTTAATAAAAGAAGAAACGTTAGAGAAGATCATGAATAATGAATATGGGATAGGGGATAGAGAATTAGATATGAATAATATATCGAAAAATATAGAAGAGAAAAAAGAAGAAGTAGTTAATAAAATGGATAAAAAGATATCAGAATATATGAAAATAAAAATAAATGATAAAAAAGAAAGAGAAGAATTTATAGAATATGTTAAAAGCGCAAGTATTACAGAAGATGATAGATATGGAATATTAAAAAACATAATAAAACAAGTGCCAAAAAATTATATATTAGAGAGAGAAGAATATAAGGAAATAAAAGAGAATTTGTATGAAAGTTATGTAATGAAAAAACATTTGAGTATTACAAAAATAGAAGTAAGAGAAAAAATAAGAAATAAAATTAAAAAAATAATTGAAAATAAAGAAAACAGCCACAAATTATTAGAAGAATTAGATAAAAAGGTAAAAGAAATAGAAATTTTAGAATTAAATAAGTGTTATTAAAAGGTAGAGTTCATCAGGAGCACTTGCATCATTTATGTTGACAGTACCTAATGAGTATGGAGAACCAAAGTATAGTGCTAGAGAAGTTTCAGAATTTATAACGTATTGGCATAATTTAATAATAGATTATGAAAAAACAGGTTTTAAAACAAATGAGTTAGGATATAAAACTTTATTACAAGTATATGATAAAATATTTGAATCAAAAAATTTAGAAACAGCAGTTAAATCAGTGTATGGTTATAGTATCAAATATAAAACACAAGGAGAAGAACTTAAATTATATAGTTGGTCGAGTGTAGGAGAATCAGCTAATAGGTATGCAGTCCGGATAGGTGTAATTTTCAGTCAATGCGTATTGGATGCACAATGTGAAATATTCGTATGTATTGGAGAGTCTGTCATATAATTTGTGTAAAAAGTGAACCCGGTATAGGGTAAAATAACATAAATAAAGGAGACAAAATGACAGAAAAATACAAAAATCAAATAGATGAAAAACTGATAGATCAGTTAATATCACAAATAGATCCGCAAGATCTCATAAAAAAAGACGAAATATTCTCAGTAATGAAGAAGAAGCTAGTAGAAAGAGCATTAGAAGCAGAAATGAATCATGAATTGGGATATAGTAAACATGATCGAGGAGATAAAGAAAGTTATAATAGAAAGAACGGTAATTATGAAAAAACAATCATAGATAATGAGGGAAGCAAAATAAGAATAAATGTACCAAGAGATAGAGAAGGAGAATATGAGCCACAGTTAATACCGAAGGGATTAAGGAGATTTGAGGGATTTGATGATCAAGTCATATCATTATATGCAAGAGGTATGACAATGGCTGAGATACAAGGACATATGAAAGATTTATATAAAACAGAAGTCTCAAAAGAATTAATCTCAACAATTACGGATGAAGTAATAGATGAGGTAAATAAATGGCAAAACAGATATTTAGATAGCGTATATCCGATATTATATTTAGATTGTATACATGTAAAGGCCAGAGATAATCATACTATAATAAATAAAGCAGTATATTTAGCTATTGGAGTAAATATAGAAGGAAAAAAAGAATTACTAGGAATATGGATAAGTAAAACAGAAGGAGCTAAGTTCTGGATGCAGGTAGTAACAGAATTAAAAAATAGAGGAGTAGAAAAGATATATGTAGCGTGTGTAGATGGATTAAAAGGTTTTAGTGATGCAACCAATAGTATATTTCCAGATACAACAGTGCAGTTATGCATAGTTCATATGATTAGGAATTCAGTAAAATATGTATCTTATAAAGATTTAAAAGAAGTAACGACAGATTTAAAAAGAATATATACTGCAACAAATGAAGAAGAGGCATCATTAGAATTAGAAAGTCTTGCGGAAAAGTGGGATAAAAAATATCCAGTTATTGCAGATATCTGGAAAAGAAATTGGACTGGGATAATCCCATTTTTTGTATTTCCAGAAGAAATTAGAAAAGCCATTTATACCACAAATGTTATTGAATCGGCAAATCGCCAAATCAGGAAAATTATCAAAAATAAGGGTGTTTTTCCAGATGATAAATCTATCCAGAAAATTGTATATTTGACACTTAGAAATGCTTCCAAAAATGGACCATGCCAATTAAAAATTGGCCTCTGACTTTAAACCAATTTGAAATTTTATGTGGAGATACAAGATATGATTTAGTTGTAAAAAATTATTAAATACACAAACTATATGATTGACTCATCTCTTGAGGTAAAATTTCTGCCAAGCTCCTGTTTTATAGTATGGAAGCAAGATTCAGCAACTGCGGTATCAAGACAATTTGCTTTCCTTGAAAGACTTTGTGTCACCTCTAAATTTCTTAAAACTTTTTTAAGATCATTAGATGTATATTGTGAACCTCTATCAGAATGAAACATCAATCCTTTTTGTGGCTTTCTCTGCCAATAGGCCTTTAAAAATGTGTATAGGACTAATTCGTTATTAATTCTATCACTACATTCCCAGCCAACTATTCTTCTAGAAAAAAGATCTATGATAATGCATAAATAAACCCATCCTTGTTTCGTTTTGATGTAGGTGATATCAGATACCCATACCTTATTAGGAGCATTTGTAACAAAGTTTCTATTCAATACATTATCTATATTAACAGCCTTTTTAGCTGCTTTTGTTGTAACTTTAAATTTAATTCTTCTTTTAGAAAAAATATTATTTTCCCTCATCAGCCTGGCTACTTTTTTATGATTTATATCCTCCATGTTTTCTTTGAGTTCCACATGCACCCTACGATACCCATATGTCATTCTTGATGATTTATGAATATTTTTTATTTATTTTATAGTAGGCTTTTGCTCTCTCTTACAACTTTTTTCTTAAATGCAGCTCGGGTTATTTTAACTTCAAATGCTTGATCTTGAATTAAAAAATCTACTTCATATCCTTCTTTTGTTCTCCAATAAGAAATATTATCTAATTTTTAGTTAAATTTTTATAGGCTATTAATTCTAAAAATATATAATGCTCAAATGCTTTACCAGTATCCACCCCAATCATTTCATTAAATTTATATCTCTTTAAATAATTAGCTATGCCTGTATCAAATAAGTAGAATTTAGGAGTTTCAGTAATAATCTGGCGCTTAACCTTTTTTCTAAACGGGTATAAACTATATCCTAGATACATATCTTCCATTATTTCGAAATATGTACGAACAGTTTTAGCATCTACTCCGCATTAGAGCGCAGATTTGGACTGAAAAGATTCATAACAAGATCAAAAAGACCAAGAAAATGCAGTAATTAGTCAAATACCTGAGTCCACAATTGTGGTTATTGAAAAAATAAGAAGAGAAAATCCAACATATGGTAAAGCTAAGATAGCTGTTATACTTTGTAAAAAATGCTCCATTTAAAGTTTCTTCTACACAAGTTGATGGTGGTCCTGAATTTATGGCTGAATTTGAACAAGCTTGCGCTGATTTAGATATAACATTGTTTGTTTTGAAAAAACCTAAATATAATGGTGGCTTTGAGCATTCAAACAGAATATTTAGAGAAGAATTCTATGCCAGAAACGACCTTCTCGCAGATTCTATAGGAGCCTTCAAGGTTGAACTAAAATCTGCCGTTTTCAAGTATAATTCCTATAGACCTCCTTACTACTTTTGAATATATTAAAAGGCGTAATGACTTTGTTCATTAGTTAAATATGTTATGAACTTGCACAAAATAAATAATCAGTTGTAATACAAATAAAAGTGTGATAACTTTTAAATTAGGGTTAATAAAAAATTAAGTAAAGAATATGATTATAACAAATTTAAATCAAGATAATAGTTGCCATGTTAATGGTTTTGAAAGTTTATTAAAAAGAGCAGTTGATTGTACAGATCAGAGTTGTTCTAGTGGAGCTTACTTTGTAGAGCAAAATGATGGACAAGCTCTATATAATCTAGGCACTACTATTGGAGGGCCTCAAACAACGGTGCAGATGGGCAAGACAACTGAATGGAGTGAGAGTCGATACGCAATACTGATCGCAAAAGGTAACTATACAATGAATGGTTACTTTAAATTAGGATATTATACTCAAGTAGCTGGTGTTAGTGATAATAGTGATTCTGTTATATTATCTCCTGGTATAAATGTCTTAAATAATTGTGTTAAAGCTTTTAATGCTGATGGGAGTCAAAATTCTAGATGTTATGCTCCTGGTGGACTTGATAATTTTTGGCGCAGTTTATCGGATTTGAAGATGAACATAGCTAATGATCCGGTATTACGTTTTGCTGTATCTCAAGCATCGCCAATTAGGGATATCAATATTGAAGGGAGTGCGGGCATATTAATGTGTGATTGGAATACAGACATAGGGTGTGGTTATACTAGTGGTGGCTTTATTGATAAGATGAAAGCATCAAGCATTGGGTTTGGCTCTCAACAACAATTTTATATATCAAATTCTCAATCTAATCAATTAATAGCTGGAGCTTGGAACATACTGTCTAATAATAATAATGTAGATAGCATAACGGGAGCGGGTGATGTTAATGTACAAAATAGATGGCCTGGATATCCATTTACAAAGATTGATGATACTACAATGACTCGATTTCAAAAGCCTAAATTAGTAAAAGATGGAGATCAATGGCATGTACAATACGATTATAAGGCTAGTCCGATTAGTGATTTTATTGTGGTGCAACTCAATCAAAAAGAAGATCGAACAAAAATATCTTCATATGATGTTCATAATATTAATAATCAATTAATAAACAAAGTAGGTATGATAGTTATGCCAGGTATTTATGATCTTGATGATACACTGTATATACCTAACAATAAAATAGTATTAGGTATAGGTTTGCCGTCATTTGTTTGCCCACCTAATACTGGGAAGTGTATGATAACAGAAAGTGAGGGTATAAGAATAGCTGGATTAGTATTTGATTCGCCAGTGGCTAGTTCTTTAGACACAAATAGTGATGCTATAATTTTGAATATAGGAGAAGAGGGAAGTGGTATATCTACGAATCCTGTTGTATTACAGGATGTGTATTGTAGAATTGCACATATAAAACCAGAACAAATTGCTTCTTCCGCATATAGTTGTGTTAAGGTTAATGCAGATTATACAATTGGAGAAAATTTGTGGCTATGGAGAGCTGATCATGATGCGAAGTTTATAAATGTATTAGCAAATGCAGCTAAAGCTCCTTACGGATTAATAGTACATGGAAATAATGTAAAAATGTATGGTTTATTTGTAGAACATTTTCTAAATTACCAAACTGTTTGGTTTGGAAAAAATGGGCAAGTGAATTTTTATCAGTCTGAAATTCCTTATTACTTGCCAGAAGGAGGTATAACAAAATGTTCTTTACCTTATTCTGATTTGGTTGATGAGACTCCTGCTTGCGCCTCTTTGTATATTACTAAAAGTGCTACAGGATTTACTGCTAATGGTTTAGGTATATATTCTTATTTTCCCAATAAAAATGAAAGAGGCTCACAAGCAGGAGAAAAAGAATTTTATCAAGATACAATAAGAGCCAAGTCTGCAATTATAGTAGATGCAGAAAATGTTGTTTTGACTCATGGATTAACCCATTTCTTAGATGGAGATTTAAGTAGTGGAATTGATAACGTAATTCAGTATAAAAGCAATTTGTACTATCCGGAAAATAGTTATGTTAATGGAAGTACAAATAAAATAGGATATGCTTTTGATGAATTTCGCATTGATAGTGCTACAGTTAGTAGTAGTGATGAGCTATAGAAGTAGATAATAGCTTGAAGGGCAATAATGTTTTATTTTTGACTAACGCGCAAAGATAAAACATTATCTTTAGAGGGTATGTATTGCATGGTTATAATTATTTACAATAAAATTTTTAATAATTCCTTCCAATTCTGATAACTTGTATGTTTTCTTTTTTATTTTGAGTATGGATAATAGCTGTTGTTCCAAACTAAGAAAAAATCTCTCTATTTTACCTCTACCTCTTGGTTTTTCAACAATAGAATGAATTAAGTTAATCTTTAATTCTATACACGCTTGTTTGATATGATTTGAAGTAAAATCTGATCCGTGATCTGTATAAAGTATCTCTGGTATACCACAAATTGCCCATTCTTTATCCTGCTTATACCATATTGCTTGCCTCAATGCCAAGCCTGTTTGTAATGCTGACGGCCCTTCTATAAAAAGGGAAAACCCTGCTATTGCCCTACTAAAATCATCTATAACTATGGTTATCCATGGTCTCTTCTTTTGATTATCATAATCTATTACCTCTATATCAAGCATACTGTGATCAGTTTGCCATATATGATTGGGGTGCTCGCTTGTTTTTCGCATTATCATTTCGTATTTATCTTCATATACTTTATCACCGTTTTTTGCTAAAATCTTCAAATCATCTGGTATTGTTTTAACGATGCTTCTTATTGTAGAATATCCTACCTTATCAATTTTTGCTTAACACAATATTCATTAATTAGCCTAGTAATAGTGGCTATGCTCATGTTTTTCTTATTCAATGCTAAGCCTTCTATCCCATCTTTAAGTTTACTATTAATTGTTTTATAACTACCTGCATCTTTGCGCTTTTGCCTTGCTAACCCATCTAATCCATTAACTTTATAACTTTTTACCCATCTTTGTAATGTTCTTAAATTCACATTATCACATTATCTGGACTTTTGACAAATTGTGATAAATTTGCAACTATAACTGAAGAATAAAAATAATTTAATGAAAAAAGTCAAAAATATTGAAGAGCTAAAAAAATATTTCAATAATATTGAAAATCTTTTTTCCCTATGAAAAAAATTCATGCATTGATTTAATCTTTGCTTTAGCAACAAATTTTACATTAAAAGCAATGACAGTAGTTGAATTAAGCCTTAGTAGATTTTTTAAAAGAAAATATAGTAGCTTATATCGTGCTATTGGTGGTTATTTTACATCTCGCAAGAATAAAAAAAATAGAGAAGAAAAAAGAGCAGAAGCAAAGGAAAAAATAAAAAGTTTTTTGTTCGAGTCAGCAATAGAGGATACAGGGAATATACATACATTTGCAATAGATATTACTGGCAATATAAAAAAGCACTCAGCTAAATCAGAAGATAGAAGTTATATTCATTCAGGTTCTATTGGAGGAATGAGTATAGGGCATAATTACAGTGTTATAGCACTAAAAGAAGATTATGGTTGGATGCTTCCAGTGACAATAGATAGAGTGCCACATAGTGAGAATAAATATGATTTTAGTGTGATTCAAGCTGAATCTGTATTAGATAAAGTGCCTCAAGGCGATATATCTATAATAGTTGGAGATTCTGCATATTCATGTAATAAATTCATATATAAGCTTAGTAAGAGAGCTAATGTAGCAGTCATCACAAGAATGAGGGTAAATAAGGCAATATATGAAAAATATGAAGATAAAAAAGAAGTTCTGGGAGAAAAGAAAAATATGGCAATAAATATTTGCTTAACAAACCTGATTTACTACCTGATCCAGACTACACAGAAAGAATTTGAGNAGGGCGATTCAAAAGATTAAGTTATCATTATTTAAGGGTTATATATGCCGAGGGAATAAGGATTGTACGATGTCAGAATACCAATAAATTTATTAGGGTGAAGTCTTAAGGAAAATGGAGAGAAAAAATATGATAGAGATTTATGGATTGGAGTTGCAGGTAAAGTTCGAGATAAAATAACAACTTTGGACGCCTTTAAAGAATATTCTGATAGATTTGATATTGAGCATTATTTTAAATTTTCCAAATCAAAACTGTTGATGGATAAAATGCAATCATCTGATTCAAAAAAAGATGAAGATTTTATGTTGATGACAGCAATAGCTTATCACGTATTATGTAAAAGTTCTGATTTGCTAAATGAAATTAATGTTAGAGCTTGGGAAAATAAAAAAAGAATAAACTCCAAATCACCATCTAATATATTTAGAGCTGCAGCTATTAGTGATGTTTTTGATCAAGTATATACAGGTGAAATTAAAAAAAGAGGCATACCAGATGAGAGAAGTATAAGAAAAAGTTTTACATCAAAGAAAAATCAACCTATCATGCGCAAGTCTAGAGACCCCACAAAAGTGCAAGTAGAAATAAAGTCGAGTTTTGGAAAGATGCCTATTATTTCAAAAACCTCAATAAATACACAGCAAGAATCTAAGGAGAATTTTAGAAAGAAAATTTTAGAAAAAGCTGACCAAATATATGAAAAAATACACACAAAAGTAGCATAATTTTTCTAAATCACTTCTTTTTTAAAAATGCCATTTTTGGCATAGGTTAGAGTTTTGTCAAAAGTCCAGATTATTCTCCAAAGCAATTTTCGATAAATTAACCTCTTTCTTTAAATATGGACTTATAATATTATATTTTTCTAATGCTTTATTACTCAAAACTTGCCTTCCAATTATATAATGTTTGTCGTGAAATTTTAGCCATTCTTGCAATATATGCAGATGTATATTTACCACTATTAAGCATATCTACGTATTCTTTTCTAATGTTCTCATCTACTCCATAAGCTCTCCCTTTATATTTCCCTTGTTCCTTAGCTCTTTTCACTCCCTCGTAAATTCTTCTGTTTATCAATTTTCTCTCAAATTCTGCTATTGATCCCATCATATTAAACATTAACATTCCAGTATCAGTGTTTGTATCCATTTGCTCTTTTAAACTTTGAAATTTTACTCCTTTTTCTTGCAAATTATTAATTATTTCAATTAAATCCTTTAAACTTCTCCCTAATCTATCTATTGCAGTGATCACAAGAATATCACCTTCTTGAACTTTATTTAATAACTTTGATAATTCTTTCCTCTTAGAATTAGCTCCACTTATTATTTCTGAATAAACTTCTTTGCATCCTGATCTTTTTAACAAAGATATTTGCTGATCTAATGATTCGCATTGTTGTTTTGTAGAAACACGAGCGTAACCAATTTTCATTAATCTATTTTTAAAAGTTGTCTAGTTCTTATAAATGAAATTTATTCCTTATAATGTCAAGGTTTTTACTTATAATTTACATATTTATGTTGTACATTTATTTAGGAATTATAACCTTGAAGAAAAGCCTGATTGTGAATTTATAAAAAGCTATATAATTAAACATGTGTCTTCTTTTACATTTTTTGCTATTACATAATATGTTATAATCCACAATCTATTATTTTGTATTACATATATTAAATAAAATAGTTATTATTATTTTTATATGCTATTATATTAATGTATATGAAAGATAACTTTATTTAATTACATGGAAAAATCTTTATACTCTACTATGAATGAAAAGGGCCAAATTACAATCCCTGCACCTATTAGAAATAAAATGCAACTACAAGCTAGTAACAAGTTTGAGTTTCTTAATAAAGGAGATTTTATTATCATGCTCCCTGTTAATAAATCTCTCAAAGATTTAAAGGGCTTTCTTCCCAAGCCTGTTAAAGCTTTATCATGTGATGAAATGAATGAAATTATAAAAAATAGATGAATGATTGCTATCGACACCAATATTCTAGTTAGATACATTACTCAAGATGATGAAATACAATCTAAAACTGCTGAAGACTTATTATCAGAATATAATGGAAAACCTCAATCAATTTTTATTAATAATATTGTATTATGTGAATTGGCCTGGGTTTTAGACAGGGGGTATAAATATACTAAAGAGCAAATAGCTGCTACAATTAGAATTATTCTTTCAACAACTGTATTTACTTTTGAACATCATAATATTCTTTGGATCGCACTGGAGGACTATGATCAGAATAAAGCTGACTTTGCAGACTGTTTAATTGTTCAATTAAATAAATTTCATGGCTTTCAACAAACTTTTACTTTTGATAAATCAGCAACTAAGCACAATCTTTTTACTTTGTGCAATACTTAAGAAAATGCAACCATATAAAAGGTTTAATGTATAAAAGTATGAACAGCTAAAAGATTAAATGTTTAAAAGTGATTATATTTGTATAATGAATAATTAAAATAAACCCGAGCTGCATTTAAGAAATGATGAATAGATTTTTATCAATAGCAGGCTTATCTGATCTAAGTTGATAATTTATTAACCCAGCGAAAAGATGAGAGAAAGCGTTGATAGGCGACCTATGTCTAGAGTGAATTAGGGTTTGCAAGCATTTCATTGAAGAGAAGATGGTTTCTACCAATGACCGCTTTTTAAGCATCAATTTATCCTTAACATGCATCAAACAGTTCTTCATATTTTTCTTAATTTTTGTAATAAGAGTTGTTCCTTGTTCAAATAAATTATTGAACAGCTTTTTAGGGAACTATGAACTTTTAGGTTAAAAAGTGGTCTAAGGCTATAGATATGATAATAAGAGAGGTTCAAAGGTTGTATTTAATGGTTTCTGTAAAATTCATTCAGTAAAAAGACATGTTTTAGGATCATCCAAATTTTCTGCATACTCCAATATACCGATACTCATATTTTATAACTTTCTGATAAAAGGTTATTTTATTGAAAGAGCGAATATTTCTTTTAATTTTATAATTTTCAAACATTAACTTTCCGTAAAATAATTATTAGAGTATCATACTTTTATTAATATTGTACTCTCCATATAATACAACATTTTCCCATCCAATTGGACTTATATGTTTAATCATTGAGAGATCTACCCATTCTGGGATATCACTCTCCCTTAAAATTCGACTCATCTCATTTGCTTGCCAATATATTATACAGGCCATTATTAAAGTTAAACAGTTACAACTATTTCTTTGTGCTATTAAATCACGTCCTGTAATCTTACCTTGATTACCATAATTTATATCTCTTGCTAATTGATGCATTTCTTCTCCCTTCAATAAATCTTCATTTCTTTTTTTTCGTATTTCTGGGTCAACCATGCTTTTTAATGTATTTGCTGTTTTAAATATACGGCCTAATTGTAAATTAGCTTTATAAAATTCATTTTTTGAGTTAAATGACAATAGCTTTCTCATTGCAAGAGATGCACTAACATGCCCTGTAGATATAGAGGCATAAAAATGTGCCATTCTATCCCATTGATTGACTATACTTGTCATATCTATTGTACTTTCTTTATGAGTCAATAGTGGACTCAAACTTTTATAATTTCTATTATTATCTATTTTAAATATATTATGAT